ATTTCTACGTTTGTTTGTTTGTTGGTTAATTTATAACCCCGTCGTAAACAGGTAATCGGTGAACAACATTATGGCCTACTATTTTATGCAGCAACACCTGCAACATACCTCCCGTTTGAATTGCCGCATTGCTAAAGCGACAACGCATTCTTCGCACTGCACATAACCCACCACTTATATTCAGCAAACTTAGAAAACGAGGTTTTCTGGCATTTGTTTTAAGATCAGTGGTGCTCAGTCCGAGAGGCAAGTGATGTATCAATGGATAGCTAATGCTCCATCCTTTAAGATGGGGCCACTTTGACAGTACTGTTTTTCATAATTTCCTCATACACACCCATTGATGTTAGATTACCTGCTTCGATACACCATGTATATAGACACAGCGTTAATTTATTATTATTATTTTTTACAAAAGGTCGGTTTGTCAGTTGGCATCTTTCTGGTGCATCCGTCGCGATTTACTGGCTTTTGATTTCGTCTTCGTATTGCTGTTAAGTTTAAATAGTTTCGATACAAAAAAGTAAATGTAATGTTATACATACAGTAATATCCATCAACATCATCAAAAAATTTAGTTCACCCAAATCGACCTTTTTTTTTTCTTTTTTTCAGAGATTTTAAGCTTTTGGGTAAAAGACTATGGACGTATGTGTATACGTTATGTCAATTATAAAGAGAAATTGGCATAGTGTAGTTTTAAACCTGAATAACACTGAGACTAGCGCTGGTTGCAAATTGCCAGTTGGTTACTATGTATATCTTGTTCGTTATAAATTGTGAAATAGAAGTCTTGTAATACTTCTGAAGTGTGCTTGTCTGCGGTGTTACAGGCTTTATGTGACAGTTCGTTGTTTTAATAGCAATGATTGCTATTTTGTTTTATTTATGGAGCGTGGTACGCCTTGCTATCATGACAGTTAAATTACCCATTTCAATGATCAATTGGGGGGGGGGGGGGTAGAATAAAATGAGTAAAAATCCCCAATGGCGTAACTTTCATTTTAAAAAGTGCACTTTAAAAATATTTTCACTGATAGGGGATTTCTCATACTTTTAATGCATTGATGGATTTTTAAACGCAATATATTCGTGTGAAAAAGGGTTATAGCCCCTCTAATACAAGACTGAAGAACTAACAATACAATTTGAAAAGGGAAAGACAGTTTTCCAAATGCACAGGGGCGAAACGCTGCAAAACATTAGATCAAACTCACAAAAATGAATAATGCGATATTTAATGATGGAGGCATGCATGTATTTTTAATGGTAGCGCATGAATATATTGAGAGCAATGATAAATTGACAACTTTCAATCATAAAACAAGGAATCCTTGAATCAAGATAAGCGAGTAAACTAAAGTTAAATGGCAAAAGTGCTTTAAAATAAACGTCTAGCGAGATACAACGAAGCATATGGGTCATTCCATAAACTAACGTGTGACATTTGTTTGTGTCCCTCTTACACCTGACCGGTGTAATTTACCATACAAGTACCATTAAAATTGACTTCATTTTTGTATTAGTTTGGCAGGTTTTGTGCTTTGCATAATTACCCTTGGGGATAAAAGGCATAAAATATCGTGTCCTGAATTTAGAAACATCTTATATCAGATCTAACAGGGACGCGGCAAAACAAATTGACCCAAAATAGGCTATATGAAATGACCCCTTAAGTTCTGTTTCATCCTCGGTATGGCTTTTTAAATTTACATCAAAATAATAACATTCAACCCGTTGATGTTATACACATGGATAACAATATTTTCAAGGAAAATAATTATATTACCATTTGGTGAAACTAATATTGCGCTAAACGATTTTTTCAAGTTGACCAAAGACAATGACTGAGCGGGGTTTGAAACTCTAATCTCCAAATTCCTGTTCCGGAACGCAACCAACTGAGTTATTCACTGTGCTAGAGGCTCCACATTTCGTCAATATCTTTGTTTAAGAGGCGCTAGTCAGAATCCATACACCCGATTAGTGTGACCAGGGATCATGCCCAAAGTCATAATGTAAGCAAAATTAGCAATGTTGCAAACTGGGACCACTCAGAGAGGATACGGTTTTTGCATTACATATTTTCAAAGATACCACATAGGGAAACAGACTAACTTATAATTCGTTTTAAAGGTTGAACAAAAAAATTGACTGGAGCAGGTTTTGAACATGCGACATCCTGATTGCCGGTCCTGTGCTCTACCAACTGAGCTATCCAGCCCTGTACACATCTAAATGAGGAGCCCCTGAACGGTAATTGGAGGTCGCAGGTTCAAACCCCTCTCCAGTCAGTTTCTTTGTTGAGCCTTAAATTGGGATAATGACATTTTGGACTTTTTACAATGTTTATACTAGAAATTCTAGACAAAGACTCTATCTAATCTTAAAACCCAACACGTAAACATCTCATTTCAAAAATGCACTATATTATTTTTTTAGAGGAATATCGTCTGATAAAAGTGAAATGTAAACAATTGAATATGACATCAACAAACTGATGGCTTTCAAGCCTATACCTTATTATAACATAACACATCTAGAAAATGACTCGCACCAAACTGTGACCGATTCAAAATCGGAGAACTTTGATTATTCCGATTAAAAGTTAACATTACGAACGTTTAAATGAAAAGCAATAGACGATTTTAAGGAATAAATGTGGCAGTTCAACTGTATTTTCAAGACGTAACGACAAACTAACCGCAAGTAAAGGCGTAGTCAAACAATAATAAAGCAACAAACGAAAGTCAAATTATCCATTTGAAAATAAAAATCCAAAATCCCTTAATCAATCTTCCAACAAAAAAAACTTCTTATTATTGCATCTTAAAAAAAAACCAGTCGTTTACAAAGATATTTTATTACGTAATACTCTATTACAATATACTTGATTACCGTGGGGGGGGGGGGGGAATAAATTTCAAACATCTTATTTCAGTTTCCCAAAACACCTTCAAGTGTACTCATCAACATTTGTATAAATCAAATTCCATCTTATAATAGTTTATGCGGTACCCGCTGATATGTACATCAGATTCGAACCAACCCACGGATCCCGTTATCTCGTTGGTCGAGTGGTAAGACATCTGCACTAGAAAGCAGGAGGTCGTGGGTTCTAGTCCCACCTGAGTGATTTTTTCCAACTTTCACTACGTAATATTTTATTACGTAATACTCTATTACAATATACTTGATTACCGTGGGGGGGGGGAAATAAATTTCAAACATCTTATTTCAGTTTCCCAAAACACCTTCAAGTGTACTCATCAACATTTGTATAAATCAAATTCCATCTTATAATAGTTTATGCGGTACCCGCTGATATGTACATCAGATTCGAACCAACCCACCGATCCCATTATTTCGGTGGTCGAGTGGTAAGACATTTGCACTAGAAAGCAGGAGGTCGTGGGTTCTAGTCCCACCTGAGTGATTTTTTCCAACTTTCACTCGGAAGGTAATACTCTGAGTATAAAGTGTTTAAACGTCGGTGAAGGGCAAAACCTATAATTTGATTTATACTACCCCGACGCAATGTTCCATCTTATAACGTTTGTATAACATAAAAGAAAAACACAAGAAACGATTCACTTGAAGTAGTAAACAACTCATTATTTGTCAAATTCCTCCTACGCAGCAGTATGCCGTTTGGCATTCACAAAATCGGAACACCCGGGACATTACGGGTAAACATCTTTTGTTTTGCATATTTACATACCATTTTTGTCCATTCTTCAAGCATTACTCTATCGTCCAAGGCTCTATTTTCTAAGATCCTCTGTACGAATTTTACATCCACATAGGTAGTTTAGTGTTTTTTTCAGCAATCAACGAACGTTTAGTTTCGTAATCATGGAGTGCCGAGTGTTGTAATTGATACAATGAGAATACTCTAAAACTAGTCTTTAACTTCTAAACATAATAATAAACGTTTATTGGTACATTGTATAAACACTGTAATGCGTTTAAGAACTTCAACTTTGAGTCGGATTCATTGAGTTTGGCAGCTGCTTGTAACTGAAATTATATTTTGAAATTGAAATTTGATTTAGTTTGTAAACATTGGCAAATTTTCGTTTGCTCCAATAATGGACAATCTCCACATATTTAGCAATTAAAAGATAATTTAAAATACACATCGAATATTTTATTATTTGACTGTAGATAAAATCAAATATAATTAAGGCTAAACATTTCAATCTAAGGATCAACGACCCAAGAAAATATTAGTTGCACGAATCAGAAGAGCATTTTATTTTTAGCTCAAGCACTGCAAGTCCAATAAAAAAATCAAAAGGTCCCTTATTAAAGCATCCGAAAGAGCGAAATGTTTAAGACATCAAAATATTTACAAGGACTCGGACGAAGCTATATATGCTGTCAATTTGTAATGAACCTTAAGATATTTATTGTGTATTGTTTAGTCCCCAGAATGTTTGACCTTGCAAACCTTCCAGCTACGTTAATTTAAAAATAAAATAGTGCTGATAGGTTACATCAATAGTTTTGTAATTTATCTTACGATTTCGCTGTTTCTATTTATTTTTAGTCAGATATTCTTTAGTTCTAAAATGTTTGTACATTGGAAACCTTCAAGCTACATTAACAAAAGGCATCCAAATGGCAAATCAGTGCTCATAGATTACATAATTGGTAAATCAACTTCCTAACGTATTCTTTTGAAAGATCTTTGAAATGTTTTTAGTGGGAAATTATATCATTAATTCGTGACATTATGTCCTTATACTTAAACGAAATCGCATGTGGATGTATATACGGATATTGTGTTCCTGTGAATATTCCCGTTCGTAACATCGATTATTTATTCAAAATCTTCATCACTGTACAAGATTTCACTTGAATATTCATGTACTGAATTATTGATTGTCATCTGCGGGCATCGACATTGTAACCGTGGCTTCGGCATACACCGCAGCTCCCGCAATGGCATCCGCTGAGCCACTTAACGTGCCTGCTACTGACTCTGCAATCCCACTTTATACTGTCTTTTTCCCCAGGTCAGTGACGGTTGTCCCAAACAAATTCGAGATGACGGATCCCTTCTCCTTCTTAGGGAGTTTTAAGGACGCCAGTCTTGCCTTCAGTGTCTCCATGTTGCCGATATCGAGGTCTTCAAGGTGTGGCATTATTCTTGGATTTGTCACATTTTGTTCGAACTCCCCCTGAATTTTGTCCTGTATTTCTTCACTTTTATCAGTGGCTGAGAGATGAAAACATTCAACACAGTGGAAGTATTTTACGCTGTTGCTGAGGAATCCTACAAATTTCTCAGCAGGTGATCCATGCAGCAGATACAGTGTCTTCAATCTTTTCCAAAACAACTCTCTACCCTTCATTTCTGTCTGAACCTTATCAAACCCTTTAATAGTTACTCTGTACAGAGAAAGTCTGAGATCCGTCAATTTTCTGCACTTACATAGCAGTAAATCTGTTACCGTCACAAAGGCTCTGTCATTGAACTGCTTATTCAGACGGAGATCCAGTTTTTTTAGATTTGTGAGTTTGTGAGCACTTTTCGCCAATTCGCAAATAGCGTCTGAACTCAAAATCGTCCCAACCAAAACCAGACTCTCCAGCTTTACCAGACGAGGAAGGTAGCGAGCCAAGTCACTTGCTGCACCCGATGAGTAGCACTCCCCTGCCTGTGAATCTAAGATCTCCTGTAGACCAAAAGACTGCACAGTGTGGAGGACACTGATGTCTGACTGGTCAGGAGGAAACTGGGGCATGTCTTTGTTGCTGGATTCTATTCTCTCACGCAGCTTTTTGGGTACAGGCAGATCCTTCTTACTATCAATTACATCAAAAGAAGATGCAATACCTTCATCTACTGACGAGTCTATAGATTTATATTCATTACCATCATCCTCAGTTGGTGAGGCACCCAACTTGGGTTGTAAAAGGTTGGGTTGATCTCCTGAGTCTAGTTGAGGCTCGGTTTTGCTGGATTTAACCGCCTCCTGCGCCTCATTGTCATCTTCAGATTCGGGTAGATGATTTACAAGTGGATGGTTTGGGAGTTTCTTTGTTTCCTCCTGTGATGCTCTGACTGTTCCCTCGTGGATTACAGTTGTAGCTGTCTGACTGTCTTCAGTTTCTGTTTGAACTGTAGTCTTCTTTTCCGATCCCTTTCTTCCGGAAATAAAATATTCAATGTGTAATTAAAGCTCTGACCAGTCATATTGACCAATTCGAAGCAATTCAACTGACTTTACATTCAGCTTGCTCTTATCGTCTGGCTGAGCATGTTGGAATAGGTACAACACCAGACGCAGTTTGTAACTTGATATTCCAATTAAGCGGACCCTCTCGTCAGGAATGATCGATTGCAGCTTCTTATTTAAGGCGCCTTCGCACTGCCCCTCAAAATTCAGCTGGAGACACAACTCAATAGACTTCTGTAAATGCAGCACTTCGTGGAGGGGTCTGACCTGACTGGGTCCCTTGTTGATGATATTCGCACAACAATTAAGAAGAACTTCTCTTTCACACTGATTATCCTGAATAGCAAACTGGAATACATTTGAAAATCTCTGGAGAATCTCCTCAAGGCCAGTCACTTGTCCTCTGGTCTGAGTGATAAACACAGCAACACATAGCTGCTCAATAATCTCCAACACAAAACAAACCTGTTTATCCTTAGGACTTGTCAGAGGGGTGAGCTCTGTATCCTGCGCTATCGGAACTCGTTCAGCCACATTTTGTTGAGTTTGCTTCCGCTTACAAAATAGAAACCCTGTCCTTATCTCAACTTCTGATAAACCTGCCTCAGTATTGTGTTCCGTAGATTTAACCTTGGTCTCAACCTGAAATGGAAGAAGAATTCCGACTTGTTTTGCAACTTTCAAGGCGTTTTGTGTCTTCTCTGGCGAACTCAAGAAGTCGTAATTGTCAACGGGTCTTGAATAATTATAATGCACTTTACCAAGCTCTGCCAGTACGTTTTGTTGCTCTTTCGTGAGCAGACTGAGTTGATTTCCCTCAGTGACACCTACCTCTAGACCTTCGTTCCTGTCGAACATGCACTTGACCAATCTGAAAAACATATTTGCCATGGTAATGTCATGCTTGAAAGCATCTTCTTTCGTCCAGATTGACATTTGACACAGAGCTACCAAGACGGCTGGAAGGCCCAAAATATCCGGTTGAAGAATTTCCTGTCCTAGATATCGATGGAGATTTCGGCGTTTCCTTGGTCTAGTTGTCTCAAGTGCTTCTGTCTTCTCACGATTTGTACCAGTGACAGGGCTTTCATGTGTTTCTGGAGGAGCTGACACTGTTGGAGACTCTCCTGTCTTGGGCAAATTTTGCTGGATGTTTGTGTCCACAGTCGAGCCTGATTCTCGTTCAGCGTCACTTTTGACTGACTTGCGCTCAGGAGGACTTTTCTTTCTGTCTTCAGCATCATCCAAAACTACATTGATGTATTCAATAGCGTTACTGAGCGTAAAGCCGGTAATGGTGACATGGCGCATTTTTTGTTTTCGTGATGCACCTTTTGCCAGCTTTGCGTTTCTAGTGGTCAAAGCTAATTGACAGCCTAGAAATTTGTTGTCTGTCATTACTTTCATGACAGCGTCAATCTCGTGCTGGTAATTACAGTCATCTACCAAAATTGTCAGGTTGCTTTTGTCTCGTGCGAAATGTGCATTAATAGATTCGGCCGAAATGTGTGCGTCTTTTTGAAGCATGAATTCAACGACTGCTTCACCGATGGTTTTAGCCTTAATAAGCAACCTAGCTGGGACAAGAACAACTATCTGATCACTACCCCACAGTGCACCTTCCCTTCCCGAGGCCCAGTCGTATATCAGTCTGTACAAAAACGTAGTCTTACCACAACCCCGTCTACCTTGTATTATAGCATGCCTACTGGCCAATTCTGGAATACCATCATCAAAGATACCAGACTCTGAGTCTAATCGATACTTTACAGTGATACCTCCGTGGGAGACAATGACGAACATCTCCAAGGCTTTGTAGACTGTATCTATTGGTGCAGAGAGAGCATCGTCCCCGTCAACCCACAGTGTGATAGGAATTCTGCCCATTTTGCTGATCACAAACGCTTTGATCTTCTTGGCAAGCGTCTTCAAATCAAACTCCGGGACGGATTCTGTCAAACAATTAAAGGAAAATGTTTACATATCAAATTGAGTGTTTTTTTGGCCTGCAGGTTGCATTGATTTCTTTAATACAATCCTACAGCCAATTGTATTCAAAGCTGTTCTTGATTTCGTCAAAGGTTCCATTTATAAACATTTGAGGGTAAACAGGCTTTACGTCACTTTGTAATCCAAACTTGAAGCAATTAATGTTGTCCCAATGCCCATGTTCTCTGGTCTGTGTATATCTAATCTGGTTAGCAATATCGGAACTACAATCCAATTTGTACAGACTTTAAAAAAAGCTTATGGCATCCTTCCTGATAGGCTAACCATGAAACAAAAGAATATTGATCGTCGAAATAATTTTGCAGGGATGCAAAATACAAGAGGCATTCAATGACATTCGCTGACATTCTCTTTTGACAATGCCTTTTGTTTTAGTTTTTCCCTCTTTTATTTCTTACCTTGCTTATGCAGTCGTTTGTAATCACCTTTCTCCTTGTCTTCTCTAGAATGGGAAGACTGTCGACGCCACTTACAGATCAGGAAAAGAACAATCCCAAGAAGAACGATGACGAAAAAAGGCACGCAAATAGCGATGACGATGAGAGTGGACGATCCTGGACCACCGTTTAAATCTAATGCATACAAGGAATCAAATGAAAATAATACAATTAACGCTACGGCTTCACCCAAGACAACAATGTGCATTTGTTCTGTGTCAAACGATCGCTTGAATCTAAGGATGCACTCCCATAGACCTCTTTACACAATAATTTCCTTTACAGTTGACTGAGATGAGCAGAAAATGGTTTGGCATACCATAAAGGATTTAATGGCGTCATTCTGATGATCTTTTGCCAAGGCGTATCATTGCATTTTTCATCAAATTTCTTTTTAGCAGATAAGTTCTATGGATCTCCTCACTAAAGTGCAGTCATTTTTTTCTTTCAAAAGATACAGATAAAAATTCTACATTGTGTTGATAGATACGTCAACGTATGATTATCATGATAAGACCAGTATAAACCGACAAATGTGGTACCAAGATGTGACTTCATGGAAGGCATAAACTTACTCTCTTTCAACACATCCACATATGACCTGATCAGATTATCATTCGCAGGGAAGACATGACACCAGTATCTGACATCGTCATCTTGGGAACAGTTATTAAAGAGCAGAGCGCCCTCCATTGATATGCCGAGGCAGTCCTTTCCAAGATCATACATCTTCTTGAGACCATCTGGTAGATTCAGTGTGCCGATCACAGTGGTAGACTCTGCATCATTGGCGCCAAAGGACCAGAACAAAGTTGCCTTTGTTGTCAAGGAGATGTCTGAGAGAGCCGGACATTGAAGAGAAAATCTAGTTTCAGGTTTAATGGTCACGCTGTCACCTTCTTTAGCGCTACCTCCGTCCAGTGGAAAGCGATCCCCTATAGTAAGAAAGCACAATGAGAGAGAGAAAAAATAGGTTGGAATGATTCCTGCATATGAAACCTTGCAGATATGACAGACAAAATGGTAATTTTCCTGAAACTAGAAATCTGAAGTCTCAGCTTCAAGCTCAATCCAAACACCTACCTATCACTCGGACTTCAACATCTATCTGGTTTTCATCTCCCACAGCACATCGATACACTCCAGCATGGTCATCATCACCTGACTGAATCACCAAACCAAAGTCACTGGCGAGATCGAATTCAGGACTAGAATCGACGACACCAGTCGACAGGTTGTAACTGAGGACTTGTCGATCTGGGTTGTCGAGCTTACTCCACTCCACCGCACAAGCTGTGTTGCCAGGTGTCCAGCTCAGGCAAGGGAGTATCTGCTGCGTGTCGTTTCGCAGGTAAAAAGATCTTTCTGAGGCCTTTAGTGCATCACCAGCTGATTCCACCTCATCTACTTCAAAAGAAAAAAAAAGTAAAATGTACTACACCTGTTATGAAAATCAGTTCAGAAAAAGTTTCCTATGTTTTATTTCTCATTTTTATTTTGTGGCAATAACTTCGTAGCCGAAGTAACACCAGGCCTTTCCGTCGATTAACATCTTTTTTGCATTACCTGATACCTGGACATCGGTGAGGCAATTTCTGAGAGAACCATCTGATTGGAACACGTGACACCAGAATATCTGTGTATCTTGTACGTCATTCAGGGAGTTCACTGTAAATGAAGCGTCGCCACCAAAGCTGTAATCGGCACCATGTTGGATCTGCAGGGTAGCACCATCAGAGAAACGGGCACCAATGATCTGTGTATCTGTAGTGACGCCCTCTCCCGTTGACCAATACACTACGTCTGGTGTCTGTGACGCGCACTCACACGGTAGCGTCTGTCTGAGTCCTCGTTGTAAAACAGCAGTGGAAGATGCCTGACTACTGCCTCCTGGAAATGTGTCGCCTGTGTTATTGAAGTTGAAAATTGAACTTTCATTTTGACTAAAGTATATTCTCAGTGGAACCGAAAGAATTGATTGAGCCGTTTGGGGTTAACCTGCAATAATTTTCATTGATTTATTATATCAATTCAATAAAAAGGGAATATGTTAAGTCTTCTACCATTGGTATTGCTTCGTTCGGCATATTCACGCCACATCAAATTAATCACTAACGTCAGATGGGGACCTTCTCGTGTTTTATAGACATTGTTTGCAACAACAACAAAAAACACCAAAAAGCCTATACCTATTACTCGGATTACGATTTGGTCAAGTCGGTCTTTGGTGTCACGTGGTACGACTTGACAGAGATACCCTCCTTCATCACTGTCCTCTACACCTTTGATGACGAGGCTGAAACCAGACGTCCCGAACGCGTACCTGTCGCTCTCGGGTAAGTCTGCTTCATATCCGTAAGTGATCAAAAGTTGTGGAGAAGTATTAGAACTGTCATTCTTGTACCAAATGACTCGACTGATGGCCTCGTCGGGACGGAAGGATCGGCAAGCTAGTTGGTGCCATACGCCTCGTTGAACGTTGTTGACTGCACCAAAAGTACTGTGAGTACTGTTAACTGAAGACAAACAAATATAGTAACGTTTACACGTTATTCACATCGGACGACTTGTGTAATTTGTTTACTTATATATATCGCCTAGAGCATCGGTTTTGGGTAGACACGTGTGCTTTATAAATATAAAATATCATTATATAGATACATTTGTGTCAAAGTTCAAACCGCAGATTATGCAGTTATTGTGTTATTTTTATTCAACAATTAACCCAACATGATTTATGGCTGTGTATAAAAGCATCCTCTTTGACTTTTCTTAGTGTTTCACGGTTCTAAAATAGGAAAGGAAAAAATCAAATTAAGTGAACTGCTTCCCGTAAATTATTGCTTCTAAAAGTGGTCACGATAATAACCATCTAACAAACCCTAAGGGACCAATGTACAGCGTATATCAGAAAAAGGAGACCCAGATGTAAATGCAAATTATAAAAAGAAATCTAATAAATATTTTAAAATAAGTTAAAGATCATGTGAAAGAACAATGTGTCCTCTTTCCAATGATACCTTGATCTTGTGTCCACGGATGACTGAGCATTCATTGTTATTCTGTCAAGGGTAAAAACTTGTGCATGGCCAAGTTTATGCAAAAGGTAATGGTATATTGGGTATGTGGAACGGCTAAATTTGAAAAAAAAACATCCTTTCTTTAAAACAGTTTATTGAAGTTTGACACAGTGATTTAACCACTCTCATTGTTGAATTACACCCCTCATGACCAATGCCTTCAATGTGGCCTTCACCTCTTTGCACATAAAACTCTGTACGACGTCGTATAATATCTTACAATTTTTACGATTTTTCCGTAGTTTAGTCATGTCATGCTCAAACTTTGCCCAGTACAGGTTTTGACCCTTGACAGAAATACAATTAATGCTCAGTCATCCGTGGCCACACGCACAAAATCAAGGTATTGTTGGAAAGAAGACACATTGTTCTGACACATGATCTTTTTACTATTTTTGTTTTCTAATAAGTTAAAACTTATTTGAAAACAGAAATATATTATATATTGTTTTTAAGATTTACATTGACATGTGGGTTTCCTTGTTTTTTTGGGGTACATCCTGTGTAATAATATTGTACGACCAGATAAAGAAAAAAATCGCCATAAAACCCAACGACAACAGGTATTTTGATCATTAACAAATTAGAGGTTTGCCCGTCCCGTCCTGTCAAGTCCCGCAATTTGTTCATTTCATGTTCATGTGGACAGTATTTAATTCAAGAGGATTCAGAGTCGGATACGATTACGGTTTTTAATTCGCATTGGAGCGTTCGATTTCGTGTTACTTGAACTCTTCTTATACTACAACGAGTGTAAAAAGCACATGCCAATTGTTTGCGAGAATCTCGAAAGAATTGTTTTGGGGTTGTTGTTGTTTTTTTTGCAATGACCAAGGTCTGACATTTGACGTAGTTATGACACGATTCTCACCTGAGTTAGCTGGGCAAATCTTGTAGGTTGCTTCACAAAGTCCAAGTGTTAGCAGAATAATTGTTATGTACGTAAACGCCATGATGTCAATGATGTTATCAAGCTCACTAAATAACAAAAAAAAACAAATAAATAAATACTAATTAAACGTTACGATTGGAAATTTTGCAAGCTGAATCAGGTTATACTATGCTAATGGGTTTCCATATTAAGATGTATAATATTAATACAAGTACAAAAGTGAGACAAAAACCTAGCAAAAAGAAGCTAAACAGTTACTAGAGCTGTATGTCTGTTGGAAAACAGAACGAAGGGCTTTTTTCGCAATTTATCAAAGTTAATGCTGTGTTTGTCCTCTGCAGTCACTTTTTAGAGTGATTAATACAGTTAAAGATTGTTCACAATGCTTAGAATAATTCCCAAAATAAAGCTTTATCACAAGACGTCACATGCCCTGCGATGAAGTCATCTTAAAAACCCTTGTCAATGCACATGTTGTCATTGTAGTCTTGAGTTTGAACTAAGTTTACAGTCAATCCGATGAAAAGAAAAAGTGTGCAATTTTGGAAGCATAATAATAATTTTAAAAATCATAAAATCAACCGATGACGTCATCGTGACGTCATTTTGGACTCTGCACACTAGTACCATTATCTACCTACACACCAAGTTTTATGACGATCGGACTCTTCCTTATATGTGTTTTGCAAAAAAAATCGCATTTTTGTAAAGAAATTCTTTTAAAAAAATACTTTGTCAAATGTTTGTATTAGAAGAAAATGTAAAAAAAAAATTGATATTTAAAAAAGGTCATTTTACATACTATTAACACTATCTACCTACCCACCAAGTTTAAAGACAATCGGACTTACCCTTATAAGTGTTTTTAAAATTTGCATTTTAGATGACGTCATCGTGACGTCTCACATCTTCAAAAAAATTGTGCAGATACCTATTACATAAACAACCTAATACAAAAATAATTTAGCATTTTTAAAGCCAATCGGATGATTGAAAGTGTTTAATTTTGTAAGCAGAATGAAATTGTAAATATTTCTTTGAAAATCGTTAAAAGTCTACTGATGACGTCATCGTGACTTCATTTCAGATTGTGTGTACAAGTACTATTATCTACCCACCCACCAAGTTTCATGACGATTGGACCTTCCCTTAAATGTGTTTTTAAAAAGCGCATTTTGATGACGTCATAATTACGTCACACAATGTTCACAATTTTGTGAATATACTTGTTATTTTGCAAACTTAATACAACAAGAATTTTGAATTTAACATATTGGGTTCGTGAAATATGGCTTAAAGGTCCAAAACTCCAAAACCTAAATAAGATCACAAGATAACGACATGATGACGTCACCTCAATTTATACCTATAACACATCCCGGCCTACCTACATATCGAGTTTCAACCCAATCGGACTTACGGTTCTTTAGATATATGGTCTTAAAGTTTGCATGTTTAAGATGACGTCACGTGATCCATGTTGACGTAATCACGACGTCACTCTTCGGGACACAAACTCATTGTGGGGTCGTTAAACAGGGTAAGTTTCATCAGAATACGAGGTTTTTTAGTTTTAAAAGTCGCGTGGTTAATAAAACATGTAAAAAGTCTAAGGGATTTGGTTTAGAATAAGGAGAAAAGGAAAAAAAAAAAAATCAGAACAAAAACAATGCTTTTCGATTTTAAGCGGAAAAGCAAAACGAATTAAATCGGAACAAAAACAATGTTTTTTTCCGCTTTGAAGCGGAAAAGAAAAAAAATCTGAAAAAAACAATGCTTTTCCGCTTTTAAGCGGAAAAGCGAAGAAAAAAAAATATAAAGCTATGTCTGTTCGATCGTGATCGTGATGTCACACATTTAAAAAAAAAAATTGTGCAGATACCTATTACATAACAAACCTAATACAAACAGAATATTGAATTTAGCATGTTTGAAGCCAATCATATGAAAAAAAGTGTTACATTTTTAAAGCAGATTAAAATTGTAAATTATTTTAAAAATCGTTACAAATCTACCAACGACGTCATCGTGACGTCATTTTAGATTGTGTGTACTAATGCTATTATCTACCCAACCACCAACTTTCATGACGATTGGATATTCCCTTATATGTGGTTCTAAAAAAAAAGCGCATTACACTCAGACACGAATACATGTACAATCAAAACATCATTAATATATTGGATTTGCCGCAGCCTGAATGTGTTTATTAAATCTTCATGCCAAGTCAAAGCATGTTTTGTTTTCCGTTTTACCATACGCACCACCAGAATAAATAGACGGCCAGATACCAGTCTTTCATTGCTGAAATCCTTTGGGCAAACTGACTCTTACACACCATTGGGTTGATCAGGCCCACCGAACCTGGGGTACCTAACACTCCGGATCCACTTAAAACTGTACCTGGGGTAATAACGGTCCCCCACTCCGAAAACCACCTGTGGTATATCCACGCCCCTTCTAAATTGCTCCGAAATTGATAGGACACTTGTAGCAACTTTTAAAGTAATTGCCTTAATTTGAACACAAAGTTCGCTGGCATAAATAACTGGAATGCTTCGCGGTCGGAACCGACTTCGTAGAAGCAAACCCTAGCCTGCACAGGCTGGGTTATTGATGTAAAGGTTTGGAATTCAACAATTATAAATCGATGTCAACACATTTCACTGGACAGGCTCAGCGACCATGGAATATGGCTTGCCGAACCCTGTCCCACGACCACAGTCGCGCTTTCCCACACTTTTTGCCCAACTCTTTCTGTTTGCCAAAATGAAGAGTCAAAATCCCGTTGGGAAAAACTCCGCAAAGAAGCGCCGAGAAACCGTTAAGTGGCAGCAAAAGTCTTCAGAGCACTTACATCCGAATACTTCGGCTAATTAATACTTAAAGGCGGCGAAGGGGAGGAGGCGGGATAACGATGTTTCCACATTCAGTTACTGCAACGAAGTGGTCTTCTCCACGTGACAACAGCCCACACCTTGCCTCTGTCTAACCACGTTACTGCTGGGCTAGCCAATCCGCTTATTAATGCATAATTCATGACCTCCAATAAATCATTAAACATAAAAACAATTCGTGCTGCGTGTAAGATATTTTATCGTTCAGTCGATAAAATTGATTTTTGATGACGTCATAATTACGTCACACAATTTTCACAATTTCGTGAATAAACCTGTTATCTAGCTAAAATAATACAAAACAAATTTGAATTCAGCAGTGCGTTTGTAAGATATGGCTTAAAGGTCTAAATCTTCAAAAATCAAGATAACATAACAAAATGCCGTCATGCTGACGTCACCTCAATTTAACTATAACACATCCCGGCCTACGGACTTACGGTTCTTTAGATATAGGGTCTTAAAGTTTGCATGTTTAAGATGACGTCACTTGACCCATTATGAGGTAATCATGACGTCACTCTTCGGGACACAAGCTCACTATGGGGTCGTTATATCTTTTGGATTACCATGCAACTTAAATTAAACTGATCCACTATGAAGTAGCTCTCATGGAGCTGTTCAAGAACAAGCAAAGACTTTCAGGAACATTCAAATCATCTCTATTTATGTCAGGTACAATGGAGTTTCAGTACGTTCAAATGTTGGCTTTATATTCCTGAAAGTACCATTAGGGAGACACGTTATCGTAATTTTTTCGATAATAGGGAGACACCGGTCGTTAAAGGAGACATTTTCATGTCTCCCTAATGTCACAGTCCCCCTTTATTCGCACAATTTTATCATCGCAATTAAGTTATATTTGTTGTTCGTGGTCTAATTAGTAAACATACCGAAATTCGTGGAAAAGGGACAAGGGAATATTGGGTTCAGGCACATTTAAGTTTTAAAACTTGTGTGCACAAGTCTATGGGAAAGTCTCCCTAATGACCCATTCCCCGTAATTTATTATAATGTTATTATAATGTTAGCAACTATTTCTATTCTAACTCCTTGCTGATCCTGCAATAGGTATGGGATCATATAGTAAATTCTTCCCGAAAGTTGTGTCAATTTTTTTTACCAATTTAAACAGTTTCCAGCGAGGTAAAACAAGTAGGGTTGTAGTACCCTGGGCAGAGTGACATGTGGCCCTTGGGGCCAATGACGGTTACCTTCCTTCTCATCCTTATTCAACCCATGCCAAATCAGCTGGTTCAATGAACTTTGCAGCCAGGGCTTCACCCAAGCCGTGTCAACAAACTTTCGACCAGGCCTCCTGCCAAGTCTCATTGAAACATATACAAACTCCTGTAACTTGACATCACCATCTCCCTTCATAGCCGCAAACCACAGCCGCCAGTCAATTATCTTTTAAGTGAACTGTCTGGCACGTGGATTTTTGTTGTTTTGACATGAATAAGGTCTTGCGTCTTCTGATAAACATGTTTTTGTAAATTCTGCGCAGGGTTCCAGGTACATATCACGCATCTATTCAAAGGTACATAGGATGATTTAATTGTGTTCGTTTTCAATATACAACCACTCAAGAACCATACATTATATCCATCTTTATTAGGTGTTTGGCAGTTAGATCAACCACTAGAATCATGCATATATTTGTTTGTTTCGTTAAACAAATATCACCATATCACCTTATTATGAAATCGTATGGGCACTCAGAAACAATATTAAGATTATAATCACAAAATGTTGCGATTAAATGGCCTTATCCCAGGAGCTATGATGACGATGCATACTTTGAGCATGGTGCAAGCCAAGCTTACACAAATACACATGTGACCGGCAATTCCACAATAAGGAACAACCCCCAGCTTCGATTTTCAACACATACACATCAAATTAAAGCGAAAATCATTGGCTTCCCAATGATGTCAAACTCTCTCTGTAGCTTAGTTTATTCCATTGTATTAGCCGCAGGAACTTCCAAAGTTTCCCGCATAGGCCCCAATTGTGATGATAATAATATTTGGCCCGTTAGTTAACTGGAACTCACCATCATTGTAAAAACCATCGACACCGTCGATTCATTATGGTCGGCTCAGTGTTTCATATATCAGGCCTATTCTAAGTCCATTACCCCCACAGTTAGTCTAGTAAGATG